ATTACCACAAACAAGTTGCTGTAACTGAAGTATTACCACCAACAAGTTGCTGTAACTGAAGTATTACCACAAACAAGTTGTTGTAACTGAAGTATTACCACCAACAAGTTGCTGTAACTGAAGTATTACCACAAATAAGTTGCTGTAACTGAAGTATTACCACAAACAAGTTGCTGTAACTGAAGTATTACCACAAACAAGTTGCTGTAACTGAAGTATTACCACAAACAAGTTGCTGTAACTGAAGTATTACCACAAATAAGTTGCTGTAACTGAAGTATTACCACAAACAAGTTGCTGTAACTGAAGTATTACCACAAACAATTGCTGTAACTGAAATATTACCACAAACAAGTTGCTGTAACTGAAGGAACTTTACAAGTACTCTCAAAGTACTCACTTAGTCAGTGTTGGGTCCGACTTGGCCCGCGTGGTTCAAACCAACTTAAACGTCACAGATGTACAACGAATTTTGTTTAAATATGTATCCAATACATGCACTGGTGTAACCTGGATATAGCAAAATCGATCACTATTTATTACTTCATTTACCTCTGGGTGCAAATCTTGCCTTGGTAGGGATATCTCTGGATAAACATTGTGTGAATGTGTCCTCGCTCCTCCCTGTCGCCAAGAGTGGAAGTTAAATACCACTGGATGTTTTACATACATACTTTAGCAGGACATTACATATTTAAAAGGAATTACCTTTCATTACCACCTTTGCTGGACACACACTGATGTCAGTAATACTGAGTTTGAAGAGCTCAGGATCTAAAAGACATGTTCCAAACACTATGGAATTTCAATCTGTATGTGTTATCTGTATCATAAGAAGCTCATACTGGGTAAGTGAGTATGGTTTTACGCTGCACACAGCAATATTCCAGCAATATCACGGCGGGGGACACAAGAAATTCTCTTCACACATTGTACACCGATGTGGGCAATCGAACCCGGGTCTTCAGCGTGACGAGCGAACGCTTTAACCACCAGGTTACCCCACAGCCCCGAAATGAGTGAAAATTGGTTGTAAAATCTTATGTCATTTCGTAGTCACTTTTTTACAGCGGGAACAAAATTGAATAGTATTAGAATATCATGGATCAATCTATAGGTAATGTGCTTGACTTATATTTATATAGTATTATTGTGGGAGACATTAATATCAATTTTCGTGGTGAAAATAAAAGTAAAATTGGTTCTTAGTTGTAAAATATGCACTTTTGCTATTACTGAACCAGCAAGAATCACTAAACATCCAAGCACACTCAATGATTAGATATTTGTTTCAAGTGTTGGTAAAGTAAGAGATTCGTATGTACTTGTTTGAAGTCTTCACTGTCCTGTTTATCTTACCAGTGACCCAACAGCATGAGCATCGACCTATGTAATTTGGATGCGATGACATGTGTCAACCAAGTCAGCGAGCCTGACTACCCGATCCCTTTACTCGCCTCTTACGACAATCATTAGCTGCATATGGGTTACTGGACCAATTCTCAAGTTGGGAAAGAGAAGTGGTGACAGAAGTAGCGGGTATCTGATGGCTGCAAGCAGGTGTTGAGACGCTGTCTGAGATGGCTCGATTTACCTTTGCCTAAAGATTAAGTTGTTGTTTTACGCCGCACGAAGCAATATTCCAGCTATATGGTGGCGGTCTGTAAATACTTGAGGCTGGACCAAACAATCCAGTGATCAACAGCATGAGCATCATTGTACACAATTAGGATACGATGACATCTGCCAACCAAGTCAGCGAGCCTGACCACCCGATCCCAATAGTCGCCTCTTATTACAATCTTGGATTGATGAAGACCAATTCTAACCCGGATCGCTGTTTGAGATGGCTGGATTTACCTTGGCCTAAAGATCACGACAGCTGGGATGACCTTGTTTCCTAGACTACTATACAGGCCATTAATAAAGCAGACACCGACTGTCATCAGTTTCCCATTCAAACGTCCATCTCCTTGCGACTCCCATTCGACATAAATGATTCATTTGCTTGTTTCTGTCAAACAATACTATTTTGCACTTTAAATTTGAAGAAATTTGACGCAGGGTTAGGGACAGAGCGACAGGCTGGATCGGGACGTCGTGCTACTCTTGGGACCAATGACAGACGACGTATCGCGCGTCTCGCGGCGGCGTACCCAAACTGGTCTGCAAAACAGCTTGCCGTGAAGGCGTCAGGTCAAGGAACCCCCTAAGGTATCAGAATGGCCAATCAGAAGATCTTTAAAGCAATCTGGATATGTCAAGCGAGTGCCGAAGAATGTTCCACTGATGACAACAGCACATATGGAGAAAAAGCTCGGGTGGTGCAGGGAAATGCAGGGTACAGACTTTTCAATTGTGATTTTTACGGACGAATAAAAGTTTCAGTTTTATAGGATCACAAGAAAGAGGTGGTCAAGAGGTGGACGTAGCTGCAAAATCCCATATAGGACAGAGTGGAATACCTTTCAAACCTTTACAGGGCAATGCACCTGTACACAAGTCAAGACACACCTGTAACTGGATTGAAACGAGTCACGTGACCTTACAGAAATTTCCAGCGGCATCACCAGACCTGAACCCAATTGAAAATGTGTGGCAGATTATGAAGTACAAATTAGAAAAGTTGGAACCGAAGAGTGTCGTTGAGTTGTCTAATATCATCAGTCAAATATGGGTGGGCCTAATCCCAGGACTGACAATTTGATTGACAGCATGGAATGCCGTATTCAGCAGTGCATCGAGAGAAACAGACTATTGACTTGCATAAATGTAAACTTCGGTATCCAGAGTAGATGTAAGAAAAATATAACTGAATTTATCAGTAAATATATGTTGAAACTACATCTGTGAAAAGTCGCATTTTTTTCTGCTCGTTACTATATTTCCTTTGTGCTGTAGTGTGCTTTTTTGACATTCTATCACAGTGAACTACACGTCTGTCGAACACGTTTATAACCAGTCGATGGCGTGGCCTAGTGGTTAAGGCGTTCCCTCGTCACGCCGAAGACTGGAAGCCGGGTTCTCGGTATGGCCATCTAACACCTTAACCCCAAGGCTATGCCCTTGTAATCAATGCCATGTAGAAATAGAACGTAACAATAGCTCCAGAACATCCACATATCTACATGTAGCATGACCTATTCCTCCACCCTGGTCAGATTCTGTGAGTTGGTTCACGCACTGTCATCGTACATCGATCACGGCGATCGTAGTATGTCATCTCATCATAATATCAATCACTAGATCGTAATGTCCCAAAGCATTATAGAATCAATCACTGGATCGTAATGTGGCACAGCATGATAATATCAGTCACTAGATCGTAATGTGCCATAGCGTGATACTATCAATCACTAGATCGTACAGTGACATAGTATGACACTATCAATCACTAGATCGTAATGTGCCATAGCATGATACTATCAATCTCTAGATCGTAATGTGCCATAGCATGACACTATCAATCACTGGATCGTAATGTGCCATAGCATGACACTATCAATCACTGGATCGTAATGTGCCATAGCATGATACTATCAATCACTGGATCGTAATGTGCCATAGCATGACACTATCAATCACTGGATCGTAATGTGTCAAAGCATCACACTATCAATCATTAGATCGTAATGTGCCTTAGCATGACACTATCAATCACTGGATCGTAATGTGCCATAGCATGACACTATCAATCACTGGATCGTAATGTGCCATAGCATGACACTATTAATCACTGGATCGTAATGTGGAACAGCATGACACTATCAATCACTGGATCGTAATGTGCCACAGCATGATACTATCAATCACTGGATCGTAATGTGCCATAGCATGACACTATCAATCACTAGATCGTAATGTGCCATAGCATGACACTATCAATCACTGGATCGTAATGTGCCATAGCATGACACTATCAATCACTAGATCGTAATATGTTATGGCATCATAATATCAATCACTAGATCGTAATGTGCCATAGCATGATACTATCAATCACTAGATCGTAATGTGTCAAAGCATGATACTATCAATCACTAGATCGTAATGTGCCATAGCATGACACTATCAATCACTAGATCGTAATGTGCCATAGCATGATACTATCAATCACTGGATCGTAATGTGTCAAAGCATGATACTATCAATCACTAGATCGTAATGTGCCATAGCATGACACTATCAATCACAAGATCGTAATATGTTATGGCATCATAATATCAATCACCAGATCGTAATGTGCCATAGTATGATACTATCAATCACTGGATCGTAATGTGCCAAAGCATGATACTATCAATCACTAGGTCGTAATGTGCCATAACATGATACTATCAATCACTGGATCGTAATGTGCCATAGCATGACACTATCAATCACTGGATCGTAATGTGCCATAGCATGACACTATGAATCACTAGATCGTAATGTGCCATAGCATGACACTATCAATCACTAGATCGTAATGTGCCATAGCATGACACTATCAATCACTGGATCGTAATGTGCCATAGCATGATACTATCAATCACTAGGTCGTAATGTGCCATAGCATGACACTATCAATCACTGGATCGTAATGTGCCATAGCATGATACTATCAATCACTAGATCGTAATGTGCCATAGCATGACACTATCAATCACTAGATCGTAATGTGCCATAGCATGACACTATCAATCACAAGATCGTAATATGTTATGGCATCATAATATCAATCACTAGATCGTAATGTTCCATAGCATGATACTGTCAATCACTAGATCGTAATGTGCCAAAGCATGATACTATCAATCACTGGATCGTAATGTGCCATAGCATGACACTATCAATCACTGGATCGTAATGTGCCATAGCATGATACTATCAATCACTAGATCGTAATGCGCCATAACATGATACTATCAATCACCAGATTTTGTGCTCCAAGCTCAAATATTTACAGATTACTGCCAGATAGGTGGGATATTTCCGACTATAGTAAACAAAACAGACAGTAAATATTGGTATTTTGCATTTCAATGCCATAAGCAGTAAAGATCATCACTTTCTCACAGAACACATACATGTAAAATAATCACGTTAGAATTTAGTATTGTATGTAAACGTCATTTGCATCTTTTTGTTCAGTATTTCATAATTCAAACTCTTTCATAACCTAAGTTAGCGCGCACACACATACACTGACACACGCACACAATATGAAAAGGTGTCTGTCTCTGTCTCTCTCTCTGTGTCCCCCCCCCCCACTCCACCCCCTTCCGTATTGAAGGAATTGAACTGTACAGTTCCATGGTTTAATCCCCATACGTCTATCAGACAGAATTACATCTTCGCTGCTACGTTTACATCTGCTGTCCAATAGCTCAGATCACTATTTCCCACTGTTGGGTCCAAACTCCAGACTTTCGTATGACGGGGGAGGCTGGCTTTGAGCAGCTGAGGTGTAGGGAGACAATTCTATTTCGCCTCCAGTTTCCGTAGCTGGCATCATTGCTGCTTGGTGTGGAACCTGAAGTGCTGGGTTTGAAGACATGGTGGTGGCCACGAAAGCACGATTTGTGTGTGATGACCGATGGTATCGTCTCTGGCGAATCCTGTAAACACTGAAGAGCACTGCCGGAACAAATACAACTGCGATGCATGACAAAAGTATGGTGATTGTTTTCATGTCTCCAGACTCTGCAAAATATATTAATTTCATATTTAGGTTTGCGATTTTAATTCATACAATCAAAATACAATAAGCAAACCATAGAAAATACAATATCATATATTGTTGCGGTAAGGATACTTTAACCATTACATAAATGTATACACAATGTCACTTAGTGATCAAATGTGACACATGTTATATTTGTGATTGCACTTTCTCAGTAAAGTACATATTCTAGTACTTTTTCTTGGGTTGAGTCCCATCCGGGATTCGAACCCACGATCTCAGAGTCAGGCACCTTGTCACAAGAAATCTCAGCTGTAAGCAAAACCTCATTGCAAGATTCCGGCTGTATCATAAACACGAGTTTGTAAATCATTATCAAATAGTGTGTATTCCACGTGTACGCAACCAATTGCATATTCACCATTACTCCTTGAAGACAATGTAATAAACATTTTAAACGAAATACGTGTTCTTACCCTGTTGTGATTTTGGTACTACAAAAAAGTTGATCTTAAAAACACCACGGGTCCCAACACTACTAGCATGGAATACAATGAACATTTGCGATCCTGAGCTGTCCTTAGATGGTCTCTCGTCTCCGCACCACTTTGCTAAAGATGTGGTTAACGAGTCATAACCTGCAACACAACAATTTAAGTGTGATTAGACTCGGAGCAGTTGACATGACGCAAGGTTATGTTGTATCATTACATCAATCTGTCCTCTTAATCAGAGACACATGTCGCATTTCAGTATTCATATTGAATTTTTCATCTTCATACCAAGGAGTATACTCGACCACTGAAGACGTTATTTGTCTCTTAAGAAAAAGGCAGAGGTGCGTAATTGCAATTCATAAGTAAAGTATCTACCCATTTTTCAAATTTATACGTACTCAGTCTCGTCACATTAACAAAAGAAACAGCTGTTGAAAAGGCCACTAAAGCAATGTATTTTATATTTAGCAAAGGTCGAAAACTGCATCTAACAAACAAATTACAACTACGTATATTTGATTCCATGGTGTTGCCGATTCTTCTATATGGTTGTGAAGTTTGGGGATTTGAAAATACATGATTACTGGAAAAAGTACATTTAAATTTATGTTGTATTGGGAGTTTGGTAGATACCCACTTGCAATTGATGTGAAATTGTGAATTGTTTCGTTTTTGGGTCGACTTTAAACAGGTAAATCTTCCAAACTATCCTTACTTATCTTTAAATTACTTTTAAGCGACACGCATTTTGGAAAATGTAAACATAAATGGATAATGAATATTAAACATATTTTTGACGAAAATGGACTTAGTTATATCTGGATTTCCCAAAATTTTGAAAACCTGAATAAACTAAAAACTACCGTTAAATATAAACTAGAAGATGCGCATAAGCAAGTGTGGCTATCTACGGTAGAACATTCATCAAAAGGTATCTTATATAGCTCCTTATCAAACTCAGATTTAAGGTTAAGTAAATATTTGGATATTTTAATAGATAAGTGTTCAATGGCAGTGTTACTATCAACAGCAAATCATAACTTACCGATTGAAACAGGCCGCTGGAGAAATATTCAAAAACGTGATAGATTATGTAAACTTTGTAACCGTAGCGATATTGGCGATGAATTTGATTATTTATTTATTTGTTCTCACTTTATACATTCAAGAGTTAAATATTTAAAGTTATATTTTTATACAAGACCAAATTTTCATAAAATGTATACATTATTCAATAGCAATATAATAGGTATCCTTAGAAAACTCGCTTTATTCTGTAGTAGTATTATAAATGCTTTTAAGAATCGTCGGTAAGAATACTCCACCTTAATATTCCTACATGTACATATATGAATTATGTATTCACTTGTATTGTAATGCAATCTATTTGCATATATGAATTTGTGTGTATGTATGTATGTTTGTATGTATGTAAACTAGCGTCCAAAAGAAACGCCTCCAATTATATTTCTGGTCTAAAACAAAACAAAAGCAAATTATGGCAACATTAAATTTTTATTGTAAAAAGCGATCATTCAGCAACAGTAATTTAATGGATAACAAGAAGAAGAAACGACGCAGCTCGTGATCTACTGGCACATGAATGACACTGCAGTGCGTTATCCAATATTCGATCACCAATGCAGAATCGACTGTTACAGCTTTCTGGGCAGTACGAATTGTTCAATACCGGGCGTGCCCAACCCTGGCAGTGATGCAGGCCTGAACCCGGCGTAGAACTGAGTAGGTGAGTCTTCTGACATCTTGATTAGGGATCCGACGCCATTCCTCTTGCTGGGCAGCTGCCAAAGCGTTCCTCATCTATGGCTGATCTTGGCGTTTCCGAATTTGGTCCCAAAGGTGCTCAATTGAGGACAGATCTTGAAGGACTGTAACCTGCTTTCGTCACTAAAGAGCACCCTTCGCCAGTTGCGCTGCTGCCGGTGTGACACAGTCCTGGTCCATCTCAATCTGGCACGTTGGTGTCGGCACGTCAACGTCATGCCCTTGAAAGGTCGATAGGCACGAATGCCATGATGGCGGAGTCGTCTGGCCACAGTCTGTATGCTGACTGGATATCCAAGGCTGTTGTCACTTGAAGGCGTCACAGTGACGTATCGGTTCCTCAGGTGAAACACCCGTAAATACCGGTCTTCTTGTTGGGGTAGTGACCTTCGGTCTACTACTCGTTTTCCTGTCTGGAGTACTGCCAGTCTGTCGTAGACGTAAGACAAGTCTGGCGATGGTGGATTTGCAGCATCCCATGGTTCTAGCCACATGCTCTTGTGCTATAATAATGTTAACATTTGTATAGCGCCTGAATCCAAGGTTTGCTCTAAGGCGCTTGGTCGAATGCTCTGTGGAAAAAAACTATGTTTAGTTCTTTTTTGAATGGAATGATGTCTGACAAGTTTTTTCAAGTTTTCAGGTAGTTGGTTCCATAACAGAGGACCTGCTTTGGCGAAAGCTCTATCGCCATAACTCGCTCTGCGGGCAGAGGTCACTACTGCTTGTTTTGACGAGGCTGATCTCAGGGTTCGTGATGGCTGATACCATGACACTAGTTCAGTCAGGTATTCTGGAGCTTGGCTGTGAAGGGCCTTGTGCACAAACACCAACACCTTGAAGACAATTCTTTGTCTGATTGGCAGCAAATGCAGTGTACTTAATGTTGGCGTGATGTGTTCATATTTGCCTGCACCAGTGATGAGTCTTGCTGCTGCATTTTGTACTCTGGTGAGTTTGTTGAGAGTTTGCTTCGATATGCCAAACATCAGGGAGTTGCAATAGTCCAATCGTGAGATAACCAGTGCTTGGACTAATGACTGGATAGCTGATCTGTCAATGAAGTGCTTGGTTTGGCTGATGTTTCTCAGATGGAAAAAGGCGGATTTACAGACAGGGTCTGCATGCGGATCCATACTCAGGGAGGAGTCAAAGATAACTCCGAGGTTTCGAGCTTGATCACTTGGTGATATTGTGCTGTCTCCTTGTGTTGCTCCCATCTGTAGCATACCGATTGCTATTTCCTCCTGCTCTGCTGTTAAACGAGGCATGCTCCTGGTTGTCAATCGAGTATCATGATGTAAGAGAATAAACCTGGCTAGCAATTCTTGAAACGTTCGTAGCCTTACGAACTTCTTAAGCCCATTCTTAACACATTGGCTACGATCAAAGTTAAGAATACTTAGGGCTACGAACGTTTCGAGATATACCCTAATTTGATACGGGTACGTGTGTGCACAATTTCCATTTTACGCATGTAAATTCGTTTTTTTCCCACAAAATACGAAATGCAAGTCCAAATATTCACTGGGAATAGACATGTTGTGTTCGAGAGACGTGTTTTTAGCTATTTTCAAACATATTGACAATCATTTTGAAAATTTACAATCATTTTTATTTTTGGTGGCGTTTCTTTTGGACGCTAGTTTATGTATGTATGTATGTATGTATGTATGTATGTATGTATGTATGTATGTATGTATGTATGTATGTATGTATGTATGTATGTAGGTAGGTATGTGTGTGTATGTAGACATATATATGGGTGTATATGTATGTGTGTATGCATGTATGTATTTGTGTGTACATATATGTGTATGTTTGCGTGTATGTGTACGTGTATGTAAATGTGTATGTATATACATATATAAAGTATTGTTTACACAACATCTGTATAGATATTGTACATAACTACAATGTATATGTATATATAGTCTGCGGCCTGAGTTGAAAGTAAAAGTTCAGTTCAGAAGACCCGAGTTCGATTACCCGCAATCTGTGATCCCATTTCTGATGTCCACAGTCGTGATATTGCTGGAATATTGCTAAAAGCGGTGTAAAACTAACAAACTCACTCACTCACAGAAGGCATCTACAAGTAACTGGGTACAAATCTTGCCTAGAGTACACACTATCTTTCAAAATGAAATACAAATGTATGATTTAATGACAAATGTTTCTGAAGTTTTGGGGAACAACATTTTCAAATCAATGTATTTACCCTCCTGCCCTTCACATATCCTGAATTTCAAACGAGCCGCCCCTGTCATACTAACCACACTATTATGCCGCCCCTGTCAAACTAACTATGATATCCTGCCGCCCCTGTCATACTGACCATATTACCATGCCGACCATGTCATACTAACCATACTATCATGCCGTCCCTGTCATACTAACCATACTACCATGCCGTCCCTGTCATTCTAACCATACTATCATGCCGCCCCTACCATACTAACCAAACTATCATGCCGCCCCTGTCATACTAACCACACTATTATGTCGCCCCTGTCAAACTAACTATGATATCATGCCGCCCCTGTCATACTGACCATATTACCATGCCGACCATGTCATACTAACCATACTATCATGTCGTCCCTGTCATACTAACCATACTGCCATGCCGTCCCTGTCATTCTAACCATACTATCATGCCGCCCCTACCATACTAACAAAACTATCATGCCGCCCCTGTCATACTAACCACACTATTATGCCGCCCCTGTCAAACTAACTATGATATCATGCCGCCCCTGTCATACTGACCATATTACCATGCCGACCATGTCATACTAACCATACTATCATGCCGTCCCTGTCATACTAACCATACTATCATGCCGTCCCTGTCATTCTAACCATACTATCATGCCGCCCCTACCATACTAACCAAACTATCATGCCGCCCCTGTCATACTAACCACACTATTATGCCGCCCCTGTCAAACTAACTATGATATCATGCCGCCCCTGTCATACTGACCATATTACCATGCCGACCATGTCATACTAACCATACTATCATGCCGTCCCTGTCATACTCAACCATACTACCATGCCGTCCCTGTCATGCCGCCCCTAACCATACTATCATGCCGCCCCTACCATACTTACCAAACTATCATGCCGCCCCTGTCATACTAACCATACTATCATGCCGCCCCTGTCATACTAACCATACTACCATGCGTCCGTGTCAAACTAACGATACTACCATGCCGTCCCTGTCATTTTAACCATACTATCATGCCGCCCCTACCATACTAACCAAACTATCATGCTGTCCCTGTCATACTAACCATACTACCATGCTGTCCCTGTCATACT